AGGGGGGGGGGGGGGGGGGGGGGGGGGGGGGAGTACTGCCATATATGGGCTATATAGGTATGTGCCGCTGTGAAGGGTATGGTTTTCAAGCTAGTTTACTCTAGGATAGGGTATATAAATCAGAGCGTTTGCGTCTAGAATAGGGTATCATTTTTCAGGAAACTGATCAGTTGGTTGAAGATTTTATCTAGACTAGGGAAACAGCTACTCTAGGATAGGGGGGATTTGGGGAGTATACTCTAGTATAGGGTAGCAAAATTCAGCTGAACTAGCTCTGGGACCCAGCGGCACATCCCCACCCAGAAATTCCTAAAGTACCACCCCCGGGCTCGTTACAGTTTTAATCTTCAAAAACATTCATGGAAGGCAAAGGAAACACGATGGCCCAGTGAAATTGAAACAGACTTTATAGTGACTTCATTCAATGAAGAGCTCTATGTCATTGGAGGGTGTGATGATTCTTATCAAGAAGTAGTACTGTACAAACCATTTATAAATACTGTCCAACCTGTAATAAATGGAGCAGTTAACATAATGGAAACTGGTCGAGCTAATCATTGTGCTGTTGTTCTAGAGGATCTCATTTATGTAATCACAGATCAAGATGGCCATTCCTGTCTTAAGAGTGTAGAGCTATGATCCATCAACCAACCAGTGGAGAAAAGTTCCTGATCTGGCAAATGCCCATAGGGTTGCAGTGGCAGCCACTGTTGATGTTTGGGGGAAAATTATTGTTGTTGGAGGATTTTATGATATGAATGGTTTTCCATCTGCAGTGGTGGAACAAACTTGTGAGGTGTTTGATCCATGTCTAAATCAGTGGAGCCTGTTGCCCAGCCCAAATGTTCCACGAGCAGCATGTGGAATTGTGTGTAGATGACAGTGTCTATGTTTTTGGAGGATACGATGGAGATACTGGCTTACTGCTCTGGATAGTGTAGATGCTTTGATGCTAATTGTATAATGAATGGCATACAGTAGACACTGTCATGCCTGTCGCTAAAGGGTGCATTTGGACATCTTTGGTGAAATTGCCAAATAAGTTTATTAGTGGTTGATATAATGCAGTCAATGAACCATTTTTGCTTTAATTAATTTGGGCTAATAATGCCAGCAATTCCTCAGCAGTTAAAAGGATTGATGGGAGATGTTTGTGTTTATCTGTGTGTGCTTTGAAAGACTAGCAGTACAGTCATTCTGTGCTAATTGTTTCTATGTATGGAACTTAAAATTTCTTAAACTGAAATCACTTTAAAAAATCTCAGGTACTTACAAAATACCACTTCCTTAACATTTTCAGGATATCCATAAAAAGTTGCCATTTCTTGAAGATATTCGTCATAAACTCTAAACATCCATAAACCTTTTTGTGTAGTCTTGTTATCTCTTTTATTCGGCATTTTGGGTATTGTGACTGTAACATTTTCTTGAGCTGCTGCAACTCTTTCATTACATGACATCAATTATTTTTCTGTTATTCAGTAAATTATTGGACAAATCACAAATGTTGCAAATTTGGTGACCATGAGATGGTAATACAGTAGTATAGAGAGGGGATTTACAAGCTAATCAGAAAAAGCAAAAGGCAAAGCTGCTGCATCACTGTCTTTGCATGACAACAATCATCCAATTATTTTTCTGTTATTCAACAGTAACATAGTAGAGAAATCACAAATCTTGCAAATTTGGGGAGCACAAGAATGGCAAATATGGTAACTCTAAAATTATATACAGTGGATGTAAGCCATTCAGAAATAGAGAAATATTTGTATGGGTAATCACATGACTTCGAATTCAATTGGATTTTATATTTGGCTGAGTGTGTTTTTTCAAAAAGAATCAAAATTGAATGAGCCAGTGGAGCAATATTGCGATTCGAGTTTTTTGAAAAACGAGTGCAAATAAATTTCAAATTGAACAACCTGATTCTTATGATTACCCTTACATAATATACGTGAAAAATTTACCTGCCTGGCTATTATTGCATATACCCAGCATCTTGACATCTTATTGACAGCCCCATTATGTTAGGGACCAGTCATTATTTATGGAGGGCGGAGTGTATTGCAAGACACACAGCCTTTTTAGCTGAGTTCAAATACCATCTGATCTAATTTTTTTCTGCTGACTCCTTATCGGGGGCACAGCTAGGTATGCATTGTTTTCCAAATCCATCCTATCCCATCTCCACACTGGTGCATTGAATAAATTCAGTTTTCATTGTTTATCAGTCTAGCAAGTTAAACTTGTAAGGAAGGACTGTGTTCTGGAGCCAACAGTAACAGACGTAGGTGTGTTGACCTTTGGCAAAATCGGGATAAGCACTGCATTTTGGTTTTAAAAATGAGTTATGCAGGGAATACACCTTTTTCAGCTATAGCTAAATTTCATTCCATTGCTATCCATTACTTTGTTTTTCAATTTTGTCCGAACATGAGTTCCATAGGGGATTCGCCTTTTTCAGCTATAGCTAAAATTTCATTCTGTTACTTTTTCAACGTTTTTTGAGGGGGTGAATAGGCACACTGATCGGCAAAAATGGAAGGGCAGATTTGGTTAATAAATCATAACTGATTGGCGGATTTGCATACCCCTATTCACCCCCCTCTTTTTTATTACACTTTGAGATTCAGGTATGCATATCCATACCAGCATACAGTCAGCTATGACCCTGCATATGTGCCTTTAGACCACAAAAAGGCTAAGAGGTCAAGGTGAACAGAAAAAATATGATAGAAGAAACAAGATTAAAGGAACTCAGTCTAGTATATTTTGAACCAAACAAAATGATAAGAAAGAAATTGCTACCCTTAGACCTTTTATGTACGAGCTGCGGGGAGGGATAAGAGGCGGCTGTATAGGAAAAAACCTTAATATACTGGGCTACTACCATGATTTTTCTTAACTTGGTGACTGAAATCCAGCCTCACTTCTGAGCCAGAACTAATCATCTTCCGGTTCATCTTCTATTTTTCAAGGAGAAATAATTTTTTCTCTTTAAGCTGATCACCCTTCTCTGGTTAAAAAATTTTGAAATTGGCTTGATTTGCTTATTAGGTTAGGTTGTTTGAGTCATAACCCATAAAATTGGATACATGTATTTAAAAAACGTCCAAGAAATCAGCTGACATAGAAATGTATAGTATTTTTAAAATAATAATTAAATTATTACATGCTGCTTTGCAATTTCACGCATTCTTTTAAATTTTAATTACTCAGAGTAGTCTCTTGATTAATGAGAAACAGGTCATGGTCAACTCATGTCATGAAAATAATAACATTGAAACCAAAAGCTATTTAGGTCAGAGCCTGCTCCAGGTCAGCTGTCAGCCCTTTTGGGGCACCTAATTGAAGCCAAGGAACTACTTTACAGTTTTTATCTGTTTTGAGCCCAAAGTTTACAGGATGGTAGAACTTTGTAATCTAACCAATCATATGACGTTTTTTGTTTTTCGATTTTAACGGTTTTAGCTGGAAAATGACATCACATGATTGGCAGCAAAATTCAAACTTCAACCAGTGACCTAACAGATAAGTTTTAAAGAGCATGACCTGATAGGCACAAATGTGAAAACATTTTGTGAAAAGCTCAATTGCTATAGGAGATATAGCATTTGAAATGAAAAATCATTGGGCTCAAATGGGTAAAAACTGTAAAAGTGGTTCCTTGGCTTCAATTAAGTGAACCAAAAGTCGCAACAGCTGACCTGGCGCGGTCGCGTCTTTTGAAAGGTTTCACCTTAGGACATACACTAGTAAAGTATGTTGAAGGTGTTCCTTTAAGAAACACTTTCAAAACTTCAACATGATGAAATAAATTCAATGGCTTATTTTCAACAGCCTCACAATAAATAATCATTGACATCTGTTGACATCTAAATGTCTTCCTCTGAATAAGCTCTAATAAAATATTTCCTTTTTGACAATGACCAAAATTTCCCATAAGACAATGACCAAAATGATGGCTTTGCCTAACATCCTTTCAAAAAAGCAAAACTGTTTACAGCTGTGGGTACCAGTGCAAACCTAAAAATGTTTACACCTGCAAAAAACTTCACTGCCTGAAAAAAGGAAATTCACTGGAAGTTTCTCATACTCACATACTCACACCCAAAACTAGTAAAATTTCTATAAGTCCTTAGCACTGCAATGACCTTGTTGACAGCTGATTGTAAGGAGTTTAACAAGAACTCAAGGTGGATTGGTGGCATCAAGTCTTTGTCTAGAGGTTCCAACCCACGCCCCCCCCCCCTACTCACCCCTCCTCTACCCTTTACACTTCCTCCACTCCTTCTGCTTTTGCTTTCTCACCTTTTCAAATCCCTATTCTTCAATAAAAGGACCTGTTCAGAGACTGTTCATTGATAAAATTCAGAGGTCTAAATTAAAACCTCTCACCAGTGTTTATCCACTGTAATCACTTCAGGCATTTGCTATCAAACTCCATTCATCAAGAAAGAAACACTGGTATCATTTGGTAGAGGTGAGGCAATTACAGTATCTTTAATCATTGCAGATAAACTCCTTGGGCAATTTCACCAAAGATGCTCGAATGAATCCTTTAGCTTCAGGCATTTTAGCATCTACTTTTTGCCATTCATTGCATTTTGCATCATAATGTTCCACACTGTCCAGAGCGCTACCTTCACCGTATCCACCAAACACATACACAGTGTCACCCACATTCACAATTCCACAGGCTGCTCGTGGAACATTTGGGCTTGATAACGAGCTCCACTGATTGAGAAATGGATCAAACACCTCACATGTTGGTTCTACTACTGATGATGTAGAAAGCCTTATGTTACGAAATCCTCCAACGACAATAATTTTTCCACAAACAGTTGCAGCTGCTGGATCCCTACGGGCATTGGCCAGATCAGGAACCTTTTTCCACTGGTTAGTTGATGGATCAAAGCTCTCCACACTCTTGAGACAGGTCCCCCCAGCAACACCTCCAATCACATAAATAAGATCTTCTAGAACAACAGCACAGTGACTGCGGCGTCCAGTCTCCATTGATGCTAACTTCTTCCATTCATTACAAACTGGATTGTACTTAAGAACAGTACGTACTGCATTCAAATATTCATCATGTCCACCAATGACATAAAGTTCCTCATTGAACGACGTCACTGTAAATTCTGCCAATTCTTGAGAGAAGCACTCTGTTCCCTTTGACTTCCATGAATTTTTTTGAGGATTAAAACAGCATATTTTGAGGACACCAGTTAACATATATACACATCCAAAACAAACTGCAGAGACCAGGTCAGCACAATCATCATCAATAAAGGGAGGGATTGAGCATAACTGCTGCCACTTCTTAGTAGAAAGGACATAACAATAGACGTCCCTAGAAATTGCATCAGCATTAATTTCGACTCCATCGTGGAGAAGTACCACGTGTTCATCTTTCTCAATTGAATTGCGGTGTTTAAGCACACTCCCTAGAAACCGATCAGGATACAGAAAATATTCCAGGCCAGTATTCATGATAGCAATGCAAGTGAGACTCTTCTTTACCAACTCTTCTTTTTTAAGAATTCTGTCAATACTATATTTTGACAAGGAGAATACTCTCAAACATTTCAGTAGATCTGCGAGAAAACATTCTCTTGATGACAAATCATGTTTGACCCATGTTAACACTGCCTCATAAACCTCTTCTTCTTCAGAGATATTCAGCTCATCTCGACATATCAATTCTTTGACTTTGTTGAACTCAAGTATTAGGAAATCTTCTGATTTCACAATAGCAACAAAATTTTCATTCATGAATTTAATAGCTGTTTGTCTAAGCGAATCACAGTTGAACTGGCAAGCGAAGGACTCCAATGTAAAACAATTTGATACATTCATAGACTTCTCCAAGAACTGTGAGGTTTGTGATTTTAAACTGGGAATTATAAGGTAGTCAGATGCCACAAGCAGTTCGTGAGCACTTGAGTAACTAATGCTTGCTTGACCGGTGTAAATAAATTCCAAAACCTCCTCCATTATGGTTGACTTAAGCACTTTAAGCTCCACTACATTTTCCTGTTTTTCTTTCACTTGCAACTCGCTGGAAAACAGAGCTCTGAAGTAATCAGAAGAAGCATATAACACATGGCTGTGAGCAGGGAACATTTGTCCTTCTACTCGAAGGGTAGTGTCACACCTGATGTTCGCCTTTCTAAGCTCGTTTAATCTATGAAGTATTCCATCTTTGAACTTTTCATCAGTTACTTGAGTTTGTGGTTCCTCGTTTTCATTCATCGTGCAGTAAATTTCTTGCTGCTGCTTCCGTTAACCCCCCACCAAACAACGACCCATCATGTATATACGTCATGTAGGATGAAACGAAGAAAGCACAGGACTACCTGAAAAAGGGAGAGGGACCGGCAGAGGGGAGTACTGACATACAAGACAAGACAAGACAATGCTTTATTTGGAGTCTTATACAGTCCTATGTATATCGACTTTATCCAAATAATTCAAAATTATAACACAAATTGCACACTAGTGGAGGCTATAATCAATGTTAACCTAAACAACTAATGATCTGGCTCATAGCAGTCGAATACGTATTTTGCAATTAACTTTTGCACTGGTTTGTTCTTGCTCGGAGGGTTTATTAACAACAGAAAAACATCATCTGGTGCCATTCTGTTTACTGATATTCTGTATTCTTTGATTAAGTATTCAAATAAAGTACTTCTTTTTTCTTGATACGCAGGGCACAGAGTTAAAAAGTATATTTCATCTTCTACGTCTTTTTTACAGATAGAACAGATCCTGTCTTCCGGTTTCTTATAAGGTCTTACATACCGACCTGTCTCTATCGCCAATTTGTGATTACTTAGACGCGGAGTTTAGTTAGAGTTATCCGGTGTTGGACGTTGGTGACCTGACGGAGATAATCTTCACATTTATAATTGTCTATTGTTTTAAATTTTCGGAAGGTTCTTAAGGATTGTGCTATAATTATCAGGAGGGGCGGGCTGAAAAACTAGACAGTACCCCCCTCCAAAATAAAAAAAAATTAGTTCTAACCCCCCTCTGTTATGTTAAAAATAACGTCGCACCCCCCTCCCACCACCCAGATTTCACAAAGCATTTGCTCAGTACCGGGGTGCTTACCACATTGGCTCAAAATCTAAAACTTCTGAAGCCAGA